GGATATGAGTATAATCATGTCACAGTTTGGGGGGAAAATTCGTAGGTTGGTATTTCACGTGGAAAAGGTTATGGATAAGTCAGTTGATTTGAAACTTATTATGAAGATCCTGGGCCGCACAGACTCACAAGGACAATTCAGACGAGTGAAAATAGAGTTCCGGCAAATAAAATCGACAAATTATCAAAACATGAAAGGTCCGGTACGTGAAGGTGATCTTTTAACCTTGTTTGAATCTGAGTTTGAGGCAAAAAGATTCTAATAACCAGAGCAGCAATTTTGATTGACGTAGAAAAAATCATTGCCAGGTAATTTGAATTTGATAAGGTTATTGTCTTGAACAATACTCGAAAGATCTTAGCTGTCACTTATTATTTATTAAAAAGTTATTAACAAAAGAAGTTTTGTTTGACTGTTATTTGATTTTTCCTTTTTTAATAAAACCTTCCTTTCCTTTTTTAATAAAACAAGTAGCAAGAAGGTTAGAGATAACTACAGCAAAGTATAAAAGTGCAAGAGAGTTATGAAAATATTTTATTGTTAATTGTACAAAAGACAAGAATCTTGGATGAAACCAATTGTTAGATTATCTAAGTCTCTTGTACTTTGTTGTAACTACCACAAATCTCCTTATTAAATTGTGTATTTATTTTTTTATAAATATAATTTTACATAAATTAATTATAAATTTATTTAAAAATATTATTTCATGACAGCAGCATTTTAATAAGTCTGTTCGTTTTCGGCTGCACTACTGAATCGATACTATAAGTTACAGGTGAGACAAATATAAGTTTATATATAAGTTTATATATAAGTGATATATCTTATTGTAATAACTTAAGCGCAATGACTTCTATATCGCAGTAAGTATGCAAAATTTTAATAAAATAAATCAATTTCAGGTATAATCTATTACACGTATGCTAATAATTTTTTTTTCAGACAAAATGGAACAGGGATTAAGAAGAGGCAGGCGAAAGCAACGTCAGCACAAATAGATTATATGGTGGGACTATTTTGTACAGCATCCACATGTAGCAACATGCAAATTCCAAACTCTACACGGGAACGCAGATTTAAGAGGGTCATGGGAGCAATTAGTCGCTCACTTAAATACTATGGGAAGAAATGGGGAAGTCAAAAGATATAAAGTCATGGAAATCGGTAAGTCAATAATATTTAAATATTATGTGTAACATGCCAGCAAACACAATGTTAGATGTAACGTACATGTTAGTTGTAATTTCCTAATCAACAATATAATTGTTATATGACATATATGTTATGTAACAGTTATATTGTTGAGCAGGAAATTACAACCAACATGTATTATACGTTACATCTAATATTGTGTTTGCTGGGATGTAACTACGTTGGATATATTTTCGTAATACATGCTTTAGACATGGCGAGATAATAAAACAGCAGTTTCCCAAAAAGTTGCTAAAATCCGTGCTAATAAAGTTACGACAGGGAACATTGGTGGTCCTCCTATCACACTGACGGATCGAGAAAAAAAGATTTTAGGCCTTATAGGACTAAATTATGTGGAAGGTGTACAATGTCCTGATTCATTTCCAGAGGAACAGGTAGTGAAAAAGTTTTAAATATAACTGTAATCATTTTTCTAATATAAAATATTAGGTGTAGTAAAAAGAAATCCATTATTTTTGCATGAAATTGAAGGCTTTAATTACCATAGTTTAGAATGATCCGATTTAGGTCAAATATGCGCCGTTTTGTTCGATAACTTGTTGCCATTTGGAAGTAATTTCATTATGCCTCTCTCATAGAAGCCCTCGTCCCTATTGGCAAAAAATTGAGACAGTCGATTTTCGCAAGCCTCTCTTGAATCGAATTTTTCACCAGCAAAATTGTTCGCCATGGACAGAAACAGATGGTAATCACTTGGTGCCAGGTCCGGACTATAAGGTAGATGCATAAGAACCTCCCAACCAAGCTCCCGGAGCTTCTGGTGAGTCACTATCGATGTGTGTGGCCTGGCGTTGTCCTGATGGAACACAATTCCTCTCCTATTGGCCAAAGCTGGCCGCTTCTGGGCGATTGCTTCCTTCAGACGGTCCAATTGTTGACAGTACAGTTCCGAGTTAAGAGTTTTGTCGTAGGAGAGCAGCTCATAGTAGATAATTCCCTGCCAATCCACCAAATATACAGCAAAACCTTCCTGGCCGTCAATCCTGGCTTGGCCACCGTTTCCGCCGGCTCACCGCGATTCGACCACGACCGTTTTCGCTTGACGTTGTCGTAAGTGATCCACTTTTCATCACCAGTGACCAACCGCTTCAGAAATGGGTCGATTTTGTTGCGATTCAGCAGCGATTCGCAGATGGAAATTCGGTCCATGAGGTTTATTTTCGTTAACTCGTGTGGTACCCATACATCGAGCTTCTTTTTGTATCCAGCCTTATTCAAATGGTTCCAAACGGTTTTTTGTGCAATCTTTAGCTCTTGGGCAATCGAAACAGTGCTTACATAACGGTCGGACTCGACAATGTCCATGATTTTATCGATATTTTCGACAATTGACCTTCCAGTGCGTGGTGCATCTTTGACATCGAAATTACCGGAACGGAATCGACGAAACCAAAATTGCGCCTGATTGGTTGTTACAGTATCAGGACCATAAACACTATTCACATTTTCAGCCGCCTGGCTTGCGTTTTCGCCTTTATCGAAGAAAAACTGTAAAATATAGCGTATTTTCTCTTTGCTAGTGTCCATCTTCGACGCGCGCTCAAACAAAACTGTGTCAACTAGTCACAAAACTGTCAGAAAAGTCTTTTTAGTACGAAATCTCATCTTTCTAACGCCATCTAGTAGAACCCGATCGGACTTATATAACGCGAAATACAGATAACTAAAGCCATCTATTGGAAAAATAATGGATTTCTTTTTACTACACCTGATATATCTAATATAGAACATTTTTATTAAAATATATTTAGAAACTTCTTATTTCATCATACTTAAAAATTTGAAATCTTTTTTGTTTGTGATGCACATAAAAATAATATTGAGTACATGTTTATTAAACAGTATTTGCTTTTTAAATGTTTATTTCAGGGAGAAGCAATGCATTTGCTTACTGCAGGGGACGAAAGAATTTTAAATGATATTCCAGAGTCATTAACATTAAGAAATAACGAGATTATAGAACATGACGTTAATTATACAGGTAATGGTAGGTAATTATACAGGTAGGTAATGGTAGGTAATTATACAGGTAATTATACAGGTAGGATTTTTTCTGAATACATTGTAAATGTCTCGATAAATTATATGAATGTGTTAATCAATATTGCTCTGAAAATGTATAAATGCAGCACTCCTTACACTTTTTTATTTCAGATTATGAAGTGCTACATGATATGGGAAATGTTATTGAAGAAGGGTCATCTTTCAATAATATTCAAACACACTCACAAATTCAAAATGTGGAGACTGCAGAATGTCATCGTGAAATAACAGAACCACCATCCGCTATTCAAATTGATGATCCACAACGGCTCACAACTGTAACGCAAAGTTCGAGCAAGAAGCGAAAAAGACCACAAATTACAAGGAGTAAGTATTGCTATTGATATATACCTATTTTTTTATAACAGCTCAGTTTATATACGTAATATTTTCTTTCTTTGTAAGACAGTGAACGGTTGGGTATACAACTGCACAATGCCAGAGAAGATTTTGCGATCCTAGCCGAACGCCAAATTTCATGTATGGAGGTAAGATCTATCTGTCATTCTCAGAATATAATTTCTTTGGAAGAAACGTGTTATTAACTCAATGCTTTAAACGTACTTTTTTTTATGTTTATTTTTACAGATGTTTGCAAAGGCAATGCAACAAATTGCGGATAATGAAAAAGAGCGAAATGAATGTCTACGTGCCTTTATAGAAGCAGAAAGAAGTAGAGAGACAACATATTCCGAATTATTAATAATAATCAAAGATTGTGTTGAAGTATTAAAAAAAAAAAATCTTTCACATAACTAGTCCGTATTTTGATCAGTATTTTATTCTTTTCTTTTAATTTACTATTATTTTTTCTTTATTACATTTATAGTTTATAGACAATAAGGGTTTTAGTTTAAGGACAATAAAGTTTTTATACTGTTTGCAGAAAGATGTTTATTTCAATAATATAAAATTTTAATATGAAAATAAAGCTTTAATATATTTAATATTATATAAAACTATTTTATAAAAAACATTATATAAGATAATGTAAAATTTTAATATAATTCATTTTTTTTAACTTTAATATACATGTTCTTTTTTTCGTTAAAATTGTTATCCTTTACGCACACATATTTATATAAATATTTGTAATTGAATTCAGACGATGAAACATTTATTCTGAGTCACAAAATGTTTATGGCTTCGAAAGCCATTCGGAATCAATATTCTCATTTAAAGCGTCAAACAATAGGGGATAAGTAAAAAAAACATTTAATCATTTTCAGCACGCTCTTCATCTTGTGCATCTCGATAATTAGGAAATCTTTTTCTCATAATTTGGCGTTGTATTCTTTGAGCTAAAGCGCGCGGTCCTCTTTGATGTAGATCTTCGTTATCAATGAGCCCAGCATTTTCATATTCACCATTATCAGCAGTTATTGGTGCTTCCAATTCTTCAACAGGCAAACGGTGTTGAATTCTTATATTATGCAGTACTGCACATGCATTAACTATTTTTGCAGCAAATGCTGGCCTATACATCAGTACACGCTGATAGGAAAGACATCTCCATACAGATTTGAAGACACCAAAAAAACGTTCAACAACGTTTCTTGCCTTACAGAGCTGTTGCGTATAATGAAATTGTCGGGTATTTTCAGGAAAATCGACCAATGGTGTCATGAGCCACGGTTCCAAAGGGTATCCAGCATCGCCTAATGAAAAATATTAATATTGTTACGAATATGTTGTTACTGAATATTTCGGGAAATAAATAAAAAGTTAAAATTACATGAAATCTTAATTATTCAAAAACAATGAAAAAATCTTGTTTTTCTTTCTTGTGTACCAAACGTTATTTAGTATTATACGACCGACGTGTGACGGTCGAACAAGGCGTCGATGTGAGCACACGGCTGTCACACAGAATATTCAGTATTTATAAAAATATACAAGATCTTATTACAGTTTTTTATTTTCTTTTGCAAAGTTCTTCGAAGTTCTTATTTTCATAAGGACTGAAGGTTCATAAGGACTAAAGGTTCACTCACCGATCAGCCAAGTTTTCCGTTCTCCTCGATTATAATGAAATTCCATTGCTCGACGAATTGGTGATGTACTCCAGATGTATGAGTCGTTTCGTGCACCTGGATATCGTGGATTGATGTTAAGCAGCTTCATCTGGATCAACAATCTGAAAGTATAATTAAATAATGCTACAATTAGACAAAAGTTTTGCAGGAAAACCAATTTATGTACTTCCTAAGTGATTAAACTTACCGCTTGCACATTCAAAGAATGGTGACCGTGATGATTAATGAACGCCTCTTCATTTTCATGAGGGGCTATAATATGAATAAAAGTACAGTCTATAGCAGCGATAGCACCTTCGAATGGGTAAATAGCAGCGGAGAATTTTGCACGCGCTTGCTGTCGATCTTCTTCGGTCATCGGGAATTTTACCCATCTACGCAGCAAGCGCCGATTAATCGCTTCAGTTACGGCATGGAGGCAACGGCTTGTTGTTGATTGGCTAACAATCCATTGGAATTGATTGCCAACGCTTCTTTGATAGCTGCCTTGCGCATAAAATTGTATGGCTATCAACACCTGTATTTAATGTTTCAAGATTATGTTTCAATATTATAAATTAAATATTATAAATTATTATAGTTTTGTTCCAATGTTACCTTTATTTCTGGCACTAAGCCAGTAAGTCGTTCATTCTGTAAATCAACCCTTAATGCAGTTGCAATGTCGATTACCAGTTCAGGAGTAAGGCGAAAATAGTCAATGAATTCATCTCGTGGGATGTGAAAAGGGTTTTGAGCATCTCTCAGCTGCCTTCTTGCCACACGCCGTTCGACGCACTCTTTCAACCACTAATCCTAATTCCCATGCCAAATACTCAAGGGCCATGTCCTCTTCAAATAAATCAACTTTTAATATACATAAGCTTAAATGCCAAATATGTCGATTTTATGGAAATAAAAATTCTTACGAGTATATAAATAAAAAAATCGAAAGGAAAAGAGCAAATTCATATTAACTTAATACAACGTTCAAAACATTATATAAGAATTAAGATGTAAATATACATTACTTTCTGAAAATCAATTATTATAAACAACGTCAATTTTTACTCACCGAGTTCCTTAAGTGTTAATTTTTCTTTTAATATATGTTTACGATGTATACATGTGAAGACCTTCTTAAATGAACACCCTCATCACTTCGACACTTCAGACGCTTCTAAACATTTTTAACCTTTAACTTATGGTTTGTTCTTTTTAGCTGCTGAATTGGTGCAATAAGTTAGAGTGAGGAAAATGTACTTGTCTCACTCTAACTTATTACACCAGATCAGCAGTACAGTTAAAATGAACAGACCACTACTGTCGTTATGTGATCGTTACGCGTACCGAGGGGTATCGAACCATGCGTTATGATAGCGACATATAACGACATCATACCGACGATTTTCGTTATGAATAGCGACAATAGTCGTTATCATTCGCGTACAAAATTGCATTTGACGTTATAGTGTTGTAACGTTATATAACGAACCGACAATTGTCGTTATGAGCACATAACGACGGCATAACGAGTTACAGAATCCCGCTACAGCTGTCTTCCAGGCTCCAGTGTAATTTTCCGTGCTTCTTGCGCGAGTGCCTTATCTTAGATTATATTGTTCAGTGGATACTAAATATCAGTTATATTAACATTATAATTCCAGTGGATACTAAGTAACAATTACATTAAGTAACTAAGTACTAAGTAACAGTTACATTAATATTATAATTTTTCACTCAACTATGTAACTGTTACATAATATTTGTATTAGACTCATATTAGACTACAGATTGAGAATTACTATCAGATCAATTAAAATAACCACGATTTAGATTATCTAATTTACTCGATTGCAATTCTCAATGCATAGTATAATATGGGCGCTATAATACCTTAAAAAAGATACGATACTGAGACTTTCACTCAAACAGGGAGCTCCTACGTCATCTCACGCATGCGCTGTAGCGTCGCAATATATTGCACCTGACAGCACTGCCGAGGTGACGGGCTGAGGTTCGATCCCTGCTATATGGTTTTTTTATTCTGTAAGCATAAAAATGAAACAGAAAACATTCATAAATAATAAAACTGCGATTCTTAAATATATTAGTGTTTATTAAATATATTATTAATGATTTAAATTGCAAAAAGACCGTAAATCTTATCTATAAAATATATAGTGTATGAGAAAATTTTTATATACTAATTGCAATGGAAATAGGAATAAAGATATTGTTATGAAATATATAGGAATGCTATTAACCCTTTGCGGTCGATGCCGCCACAGTGGCGGCATTCGCAAGTCGTCGTAGAAGTCGATGTCGCCAGGCTAGCATTCATGATCGTCTGGCGTGCGGCACGGCAAATGAGGCTAGCGATAATGAAAGAAAACTCCCGATGATAGATTCAAATGTGTAGATCAACTTACAGATATCCATGTTTATCGATCTCTTCGAAATCGGCCGATCGCAAAGAGTTAAACTAGTATGAGATAATTTTTCGTAATCTTATATCGTATATATAAAATATTTATTTCTGTTACAACTCTCTATGTTGTATTGAAGTCGTGTTGTGTTGAAGTTGTCTTGTGTCTTTATCTCTTCTGACAATCCCCCTCCAAAAACTTCCTTTGTGTCATTCTAAACGATCGTTAAGAATGACGAAATGATTCGAGTGTCGGAACAGTCGTCAGTAGAGCAAGCAGCAGTGTGCGTTTACTAGTGATACAGAGCAATTCGGTGATTATATTTAAATTATATATATCATAACAATGTTAGAGAATCCTTCAATAAGCAAAATAGTTGTAGAAATAGATGTAGAATAGCTAGAAGAAAGATCTTTTGAAAATGAAGATTTTAAAGGTGAATTCACTAATGCTTTCGTATATGCGAATTCTATTTACGAGAATAATGAATTATTATCGAAAAATCCTCCAGCGAAAATATAATATATTTTTACTCCTATTTCCATTGCAATTATTATATAAGAATTTTCTTATACACTATATATTTTATAGATAAGATTTACGGCTTTTTTGCAATTTAAATTATTAATAATATATTTAACAAACACTAATACATTTAAGAAACGCAGTTTTATTATTTATTAATGTTTTCTATTTCATTTTTATGCTTACAGAATTAAAAAAACCATACAGCAGGGATCAAACCTCAGCCGTCAGTTCGGTAGTCCATTACCTTCGCTGCTGCGCTACGCTGCTTCATTGAATACCCTTCTTACTAACTCGTACACTTTGTTAGCTCTTTTCTTTAGACCGTTTTTTCTTTAAAACGAAGAGGTATTACCGCGGCATATAACGTATGCTATTACCATGAGTTATCAGTAGTCAAGTACTATTAACTCTGTAAGTTTCGTTCCAAACCGTTTCCCGGTCGATGCGTCCTCCCCTTGTAAACTGCGCATTCTCTCAAATTTCAAAAGTGGGGATATAGCTAGAAGTAGAAAAGTAAACACTCTGTTTTTGTGCGTTCTCTCTCGTACACTCTCGATGGAAGAGGAATAGGGGAGGCAGTTGCTAACCTGTACACTGTATTGCATCGATTCGTTCCGCGAGAGGGGAAACGGAGGTCCCCCTCTCTGGCATGCTATTGTGCGCCAGCTCTCGGCGGCCGGCCGCCCGAGCGCTCAACTTATCGACGACTTTACCGACACTGCAATGGTAACACGAGCAGCGAAAGAATAGTTGTTGCGTCGATAAAGATATGTATGTGAGAAAGCGGGAGAATATAAAGTCTGCCACTTTTATTTGGAGAACTTTTGTCACAATGTAAATCGTGTTATTTTTTACGTAATAATATTAAATAAACATAGAAAAAAATTGTATACCGTCACACATACGCGATATTGGATCTAAGTGAGAGATTGGTGCAGTGCATATATGTGACGTTGATTGCAAGCAAATTGAATTTTTGATTAATCAAATAATTATGCGCACATACGGAAGTGTTCCTTTGTTAATATTTGGGTGGTTCTGAAAAGAGCCGTTTGATGTTTGGTTCTGAAAAGAACCGTTTTAATAATCTATCCAATGCCCTTGGCGTGCAACAACTTGTTGGAGACGTGCATGGAATTGTGCAAATTCCAGAAAATTTGAGGCTCCCGTCTAAGATCCTCTCATGCGTTCTTCGCGTGTGCAACCAAAGTTGTTATATTTCTCTCATGAGCTCTCATGAGCAGGATTTTACATCTTTTCCCCGTATGTTTTCTATTTAACTGAGATCCGCAGATTTCACGGGCCAATTGAGAACTTCATGCACTGTTATCTTGAAATAATCGAATTGTCGGCATATCGTCGTCTGCATAGATTCTGCGGATGCAGTAACGTATCGGCAACATCTTTTATCTCGCTACGCCGACGTGCTTGTTTCGTATCATTACATTTCGCGCTCTTTCAAAAACAAAAGAAGAGCAAAGATATATAGGACTGCGAAAGGAAAACAATTGCCGAAATGCATTTGTTTTTATCATTGCTGTTTCTTCTAACAGTCGTGTCCTATTGCGTATCTTTATATGTGATCATGGAACATATATTTACTGAAGTCGACCGTGGACGCATTATTGGGATGTGGGAGTGTGGTGCAACAAATGAAGAGATCGCACGTCGCATTCCATGTTTCGAAAGAACAGTGCGGAAGTGGATTGAACGGTGGCAAGCAGAAGGAAAGGAGGGCCTTGTCGACAGAAGAAAATATAATAGGGGAGTTCGCGTATCAACCGAGGAGGAAGACGCACTTTTGGCAGAGGCGAACAACAATCCTTTTCTTTCTTTGTCGCAAAGTGTACATCAACTGGATTTGCCGTTTTCGGCATATACTGCGCGATGTCGACTAAATGACGCCGAGATATATTGTTATCGTCCTACTCGGAAGATACCACTGACCGAAACACATCGCGATAATCGTGTAGCATTCGCTCTAGAGCAAATAAACACCGTTTTGCCAGAAGATTGGGAGCGTACTATTTGGACGGACGAAAAAGTATTTTGTTCATCGGTGGATCAACAGCAGTTCGTATGGAGACCGTTTGATTCTCTCCGTCTAAATCCAAAATATGTTATTCCTCGCGATCGGAGTGGACGTATCACTTATGGTATGTGGGGTTGGATTAGTGCACATGACCCAGGTGAACTAGTGTCCAAGTGTCGCCACATATGGATGCCCTCGAATACGTAGATATTCTGAAGAACGTTTTACTCCCTAGCGTTCGCAGAATCTACGCAGAAGAGGATATGCCGACAATTCGTCTAGTTCAGAACAATAGCGCTGTTCATATCTCTCGTATCGTTCAAGAGTGGTTTGCACAACACCCAGAGCTTGAAGTTCCCAACTGGCCAGCGAAATCCCCAGATCTTATTTTAATAGAAAATGTTTGGGCAATAATTGTAAATTCATGGGATCCTGGTCATGAGAGAACAAGAGCTGCTCTAATTGTACACGCGAGGAACGCATGGGAGGATCTTATACGGGAGCTTCAATTTTTCTGGAATTTGCACAATTCCATCGACGCACGTCTCCAACAAGTTGCACGCCAAGGGCATTGGACAGATTATTAAAACGGTTCTTTTCAGAACCAAACATCAAACGGTTTTTTTCAGAGCCACCCAAATGTTAACAAAGGAACACTTCCGTATGTGCGCATAATTATTTGATTAATCAAAAATTCAATTTGCTTGCAATCAACGTCACATATATGCACTGCACCAATCTCTCACTTAGATCCAATATCGCGTATGTGTGACGGTATACAATTTTTTTCTATGTTTATTTAATATTATTACGTAAAAAATAACACGATTTACATTGTGACAAAAGTTCTCCAAATAAAAGTGGCAGACTTTATATTCTCCCGCTTTCTCACATACATATCTTTATCGACGCAACAACTATTCTTTCGCTGCTCGTGTTACCATTGCAGTGTCGGTAAAGTCGTCGATAAGTTGAGCGCTCGGGCGGCCGGCCGCCGAGAGCTGGCGCACAATAGCATGCCAGAGAGGGGGACCTCTATTTCCCCTCTCGCGGAACGAATCGATGCAATACAGTGTACTCTAGGCGGCCCATGGACATAGGAATAAGGGGACGAAGCCTATTCAGCGGGGGGTGAAGCTGTCGTGAGGGACGAGGTAAGCGATCACGTGGTACCTTTGGTGCCGCATTGGTGATTGGCTGTAATTTGTGAAGGTAGAATGCCCAGTGTGAAGTTGTACAGCAGTACAGGAGTGACAGTATTTAAGAAATATTAGAAGTATATACACATATAATGCCCCAGTGCATTGTAAAACAGTGTAAAAATCGCACAATAAGCCGCCCAGTACTAGGAAATGAAAGAATGGAAAGAAACCATAATATCTCACACAGCATTGCAATATTGCAGCAATATTGAAGCAATATTATAATATCGTAGCAATATTACAAAATCATAAGATTATTATAGAGTGTCCCATTTTAATCCGGCCGGCTGAATAAAATTCGAGGATATTTTCCAGAAAAAAATGTCAGACAAATGTTGCTCAGTTCTAAGGGAGACATTCGATGCCATCAACAATTTTGACCTCGGGTGAAGGGTTCAAGGTCATTCAAGGTCAACTTTTTTTTCTTAAATGGGAACCCCTATTTTTCACATCGGCAATCGATTCTACGTAAAAAAAAAATGAAACTTTTGTCTGAAGCATTTTTTTTTATAATGCAAACTAATTTCACTTATTCAGTCTCCAAAATTGAAATTTTCAAACTTTCTGAATTTTTTACTCTAGAATAGTGGGGTTGGGGGGAAATTGCAGAAGACAAAAAGTTCTTGGAATGCTGCAAGGAATTCACTCGAATTTTCGCATAGTTGATCGTGCACTTTTTTCCGCCAATGTTTGGAAAAAATCTTTTATCCTATCATGTCCAGTACCCTCGGCATGCGAAAATTCGAGTGAATTCCTTGCAGCATTCCAAGAACTCTTTGTCTTCTGCAATTTCCCCCCAAACCCCACCATTCTCGAGTAAAAAATTCGAAAAGTTTGAAAATTTCAATTTTGGAGACTGAATAAGTGAAATTAGTTTGCATTATAAAAAAAAATGCTTCAGACAAAAGTTTCATTTTTTTATGCAGAATCGATTGCCGATGTGAAAAATAGGGGTTCCCATTTAAGAAAAAAAAGTTGACCTTGAATGACCTTGAACCCTTCACCCGAGGTCAAAATTGTTGATGGCATCGAATGTCCCCGTTAGAACTGAGCAACATTTGTCTGACATTTTTTTCTGGAAAATATCCTCGAATTTTATTCAGCCGGTCGGATTAAAATGGGACACCCTGTATAATATTCCAGCAATATTATCACAATATTACAGAGTGATATATCAGATTACAACATCACTGGAATATTACTGCAATGTTACAATGTGACTATCGTATGGCAACATAGTGACAATATTACAACAATATTGCGAGATGATAAATCTCATTGCAATATCACAGGAATATTGCCGCTATATTCCAGCATGATAGACCGCTACGTAATATTTCTGATTATCGCCATAATACTGCAGTGTGAAACAATTTATATACAGGGTGTCCCATTTTAATGTCACATCACAAATATCTCAGAAACACTGCGTTAAATCAAAAAATATTTCAGACAAAAGTTGTTTGGCTTGAAGGAGGACAAGAAAGCATTTTGTTTATAAATGGCGCCACTTTTGAGATATTCACTGACAATCAATTTTCATAAATGGAAATCTGAATTTTTTGTTATATTTTCTTTTTCTATCAATTAATTTGAATAATTTTTGTCTGAAACATTTTTTTATTTGGTTAATATTTTTTGAGATATTTAAGGAAAACTTGGTAACTTTTTCAACATTTAACTTACGATATCTCGCTAACTATTCGTCGAAAGAAAAAATAGTATTAGACTTTTTTACTTTACTTACTATCAAGAATATATTATTATAATAATGCTTTAACTTTTATTAACTTATCGACCTTTGGAAATTTCAAAATTATTAAATTAACAAAAGTTAGGGCACTATTATTGATAATGATGGCAATAATATATTCTTGATATTAAATAAAGTAAAAAAGTCTAATACTATTTTTTTCTGTCGACGAGTAGTTAGCGAGATATCGTAAGATAAATGTTGAAAAAGTTACAAAGTTTTCCTTAAATATCTCAAAAAATATTAAACAAATAAAAAATGTTTTAGATAAAAGTTGTTCAAATTAATTGGTAGAAAAAGAAGATATAATAAAAAGTTGGGATTTTCATTTATAAAAATGGATGGTCAGTGAATATCTTGAAAGTGGCGCCATCTATTACCAAAATGCTATCGCTGTCTTATGTCCCCCTTCAAGTCAAACAACTTTTGTCTGAAACATTTTTTTATTTAACGCAGTGTTTCTAAAGCGTGGTCTACAGTGACCGTAAGCAATAAGAAGAAAGCATGAAGTAAGAAATGGACCAACCACAGTTGATTATTTTTATATCGACTGTGATTGGTTTATTTCTTACCGCTTACGCTTACTTCTTACAGCTTAAGGCTATCACACGTAGAAAAATTTTAACCGTAACCGTAAGGTTGTAAGAAAACTGACCAATCACAGTCGATCCTTTCTCTTGTGACATTATAATAATCGACTGTGATTGGTCAGTTTTCTTACAACCTTACGGTTACGGTTAAAATTTTTCTACGTGTGATGGCCTTTACTGCCATTGTAGACCACGCTTGAGATATTTTTGCGAGATTTATGCCTAGGACATTAAGTATTTTTGCAATATTGCTGTGATATTTATGCAATATTTCAGTAATATTCCTGCAATATTGCAGCAACATTTAAGAAATATTGTAGCAACATTCCTGCACGATTGCAATAATATTTCGGCAATATTTTGCAATTTTTCTGCAGTATTGTGGCTATATTTCATAGGTATTCCTGCAAGATTGTGGCGATATTTCAACAACATTGTGGCAATAATCCTGTGATATTGTGACAATATTCTTACAACATCATAACAATATTCCCGCAATATTTCTGCGAGACCTATGCCTAGGACATTAAATATTTCTGCAATATTGTTGTCATATTTATGCAATATTTTAGTAACATTCCTGCAACATTTCTGTAATATTCCTGCAATATTGCGATGCTATGTGGGATATCACCGGTAAGAAAAATCATATTCTATTTTTCATATAAAAACACAATATATATTAATCTCAGTAATAGTTCTAAAACTCTAATGTAAACTGATAAACAATATAAAAAAAAGGTCAAGGAGAGTATTCCGTTATTCGGGCGAAAAAATATTTAACTCAAATAAATCAATGTGGTTGCTTCTGATAATATATATTATACTATTATATAAGACTAACAATATAATATAAATTTATACGTGTAATTTATTAATTAGATTTCCAAAGAACGAAAAATCAAAACAATTATGGTGCGATATGCTTCACTTGACTGCAGAATCGGTTCCAGTTGGAGCAAAAATTTGTTCAGCACATTTCGCTGAAGAAGCATTTCAAATTTCATCAACTGGGATGAGAAAACTTCGACCAAATTAATGCGCTACCATGTACAGGTATCAAATAGATATAATAGAGATTCTTTATTTTTATACTGTAATCACTATAACATACTTCATATCGTATCTTATAAATATATCTTTTGTTTACTTATGTATATAGTACATGTGGTTGCTGATGTAATTAATATAGTTCCTGATGCAGTTCCTAATGCAGATATTTCACATAATACAAATATTGCATCAAGTTCTGTATGTAATATGATTACGACAACACATAGAGGTACATCTCCTATTCCTGGACACAGTAACTGTAAGGAATATTTAATATTATTTTATAATATTTACTATATTTTATATTGTAATTTTATAATATTTAAACTTTATTTTATAATATATACAAAAAGTTTATACAATTAAAATTCTTTACACATGATATTAAAACTGTTGTAGTTGTGGATAATTCGACAAGCGTTTCACCAAATAAGATATTTAATTCTCCGGAAAAGAAACGTCTGCGAAAACAGCTAGAAAGTACAAAAAATCTGTACCAGAGAAAAAATTAAATATTTGCAACAAAAGGTTTGGCGAAAGGAATCACAGATCGTTTCTCTGAACGCAATTCTGAAGTTGCTGAAAGAAAAAAACTTATTAGGAGCTGAAGAAATTGACTTATTACAAGACATAGGTGGGGGTCATTCTAAAATATTAAACAACTGCGTAAATGTAGAGGAAACTCTGTACCTAAACAATATGATAAACAACTAAAGGCATTTGCTTTAACACTTCATTATTATTCACCAAGAGCATATGAATATGTACGCCAAGAATTTAATAACTGCTTACCACACTATAAAACAATATCTAAATGGTATCAAAATATTGAAGGAAAGCCTGGCATTATGTTAGAAGCTATAAATGCTATTAAACAACGAGCAGCTAATGTTGAATATCAATTGTTTGGGTCACTAGTTTTTGATGAAATAGCTATTCATCAACATTTAGAGTATGACGGTCAAAAATATAATGGATACGTTGATATGGGTGACAATATAATTAGTGCTGACACGACTCTCGCAAAAGAGGCATTAGTGTTTATCGTTGTGTGCATAAATAGTGCATGGAAAGTTCCAGTGGCTTATTTCTTAGTTGACAAAATTATTGCTGAACAAAAACAGAATCTAGTTTTACAATGCATTTCTTCTTTGCATTATGCTGGTATGCAGATTGTGTGTTACTTGTGATGGCACAGCTACTAACTTTGCTACGATGCAACAATTAGGATGTAAGTTTAATAATATTTTTGGTTTGCAGACAACTTTCCAGCATCCAGTAAAGAAGGAACCAATAATTCGATATGCTAAACTCGAAAAGTATGAAACAAACCGGTTTTAAAAAAGCATTATGCTTCAATAATATTAAAGAATTTTCAGATAAATTCGAAATTTGCAAAACAGATATTACATCTTTGAAAACTATTAACGGAGACTTTCTATATCAAAATCGCAGGAAAACTGGATTTCTTGGATTTTTTATATGTATTAACAGTGCACAATTTTTATTTAAAACTTTACTTCAAGATACGAATGTACTAAAATATATTCCATTTTATAAATTAAACCAAGATCATATAGAGCTTTTATTTAGTTGTATTAGATCAAAGGGAGGTGGAAACAATAATCCTACAACTCGTCAATTTAAAACTGCAATGAAAAAATTATTGGTACATTGTCAACTTAGAAATGTTTCCACTGGAAATTGCGTTGCCTTAAAAAATATTTCTATCTTACACATTTTATCTTTTCATTCGAATGTTAATTCAGAAAATATTATTCAATGGTCTTCTGGATTACAACGTCTTAAAGATGATATAGTTATTGAGGATGACGTTTACGATCATGATTATATACCAGATGTTAAATATTTATCTGAATTTTCAAGAGACATGACTGTATATATCGCTGGATATGTTGTCATGCAATTACAAAGTACTATTTTATGTAACTATTGTATAGACGCATTAAAATCGAATCAAAGGATATATAGTGACAGTTTGATTGCTTATAAAGATAAAGGCAAATTAACATATCTAATAATGTATTAAAAGTTTGCCATACTTGCGAAAAAATAATTAGAAATGCATTGTGAAAGTGGCGGGATCTATATGAAGAAGCACTTTACTGCTGAATATTTGACAATTAAAGCTTTAATACATTTTATTGGATATAAATTATTTGTAACTTTAGAAAACCATACTTCCGAACAAAATGCAGTTGACAATCATATTGTTCATTTGATGCGCGCAATATGTAATAAATATATTAAAATTAGATTGCACTTTATTGCACAACAAACTATTAATGCTTCAATAAGTATGCGGCATGTTTATAATAAATTAATTCTATTTAAAGGACAATAATATGTATACATATTATATGAAAACATTTCAATTATTTCATTTTAAAATTGTGCATAACATTTATTTATTTACTTATTTATGACATTTCAATGACATGCATTCATATGACAATTTTAATATTTTCATGTATGATTTGATATATAAATAAAAATTGATATATAAATAAAACAATCTGTATCTCTGTTTTGCTTAAAATATTTTACAGATAAATAACTGTTTTGCTTAAAATATTTTACAGATAAATAATTGTAAACAAACTACATTTATTACCTCTATATTTCATGTATTTATGCTTTATAACCAATCACTACTTTATAATTACTTTGAATGCGATCCATTAGATACTGTAAACATTTTGAAACGCCCAAAGGAAAATCATGATTGGTCTATAAAGCGCTTCAAATCATTTGCAACATTTAATGGATCGCACTCTTTATAACCAATCATCTATGCGGCACCAATGTACTACGTGATCACTTTACCTCGTCCCTCACAACGGCTTCATTCCCCTCGTCCATATTGAGGGTTTATGCTGGTTTATGCTTCGTCCCCTTATTCCTATGTCCATGAGGCGGCTTAAGGAGATCCTGGAGCGGCGACCGAACTCCAACCTTTGACTATATAACTATGGACTGCTAGCAATGATTTTGGGCATCTATAAACATCTGCAGCGCTGCCAGTACCAAACACAGCTATTATTAGAACTCGCACTTTTCATTCCTGTTTTACCATTAAAAAGATACTTATTTGCGATCATGAATTTATAAGGAAAGGAAAATATAAAGAGCACATAAAATATGCTGTATATAATAAAAATTACATTAGTTATATAGTTTATGTTATGAAAATCTTTTTTATACAATAACAATTAGTATTTATATATAAATAAAAATAAAAATATATATGTTAAACATAGCATCACATAATATATATATATATGTTAAACATAACATAAATAAAAATAGAACTTTGTTATTAATGTAAAAAAAAACGTAACATTTTCCATATTTGTTAAGATATTACTGACCTTTGAATAAAATAATTTTTGTAAACTGATGTCTGATGTACTCAATATTTTGGCTCATTAATTTCCTTTCATAATTCATAAGAATCTGTATATAACATTCTATAATTAATTTAATTAAATAATATTTGTGATTTTCGAAAACGTCTAACTCATTAACGTGGTTGTTAAAATTTATAAATACCTTATCCATATCAATATTACGTATTGTTTTTATAATTATTTCTTGGCATGCATTTTTCTTATACAAATTATTCTGTAATTTATAAAAATTAAAAACTTTATCAGCGGCAACAATGAGTTTATATGTATCTTCTCGTGGATAATGTAAATTATCTTTTTCCACAGCTTTTTCTTTCTATAAATGTAGACTTCATAACTGTACATTCGTTAAAAAGATAAAGGCATGTTTCGCAAGTAATCTTTTTTAATAATTTTCGTTCGACAAAGCCTGACATATAAATGATAGCATGTTCTTTGCCTTCAATATTATTAATAGAATCAGATATCATTAAATTTTCTTCTTCATCACTATCACAAACATCATTAATATTAGCAACATTTGAATGTGCTACAGATTTTCGTGATGATATTGTAAGTATATTTGTTGTGTCTTGTGCAATGCAATTGGCTGCTGCAGAAGATTTCACTTCATTATGATGGAGTAGTCGCTTAAAAGCTGCGATGAATTGTATAGCATTCGGATTATTATTAAATCCCCCCATGGATCGAATACAAGAAAATAAAATCTCCAAGTTGTCTTGCGAAAATTTATAAGTCATTATGTAATTCATTTTATTTTTTTCAACATATTCTCTATAGATATTTTCGAAACTTTCCATATTATTAATCAGTCCTAAGAAACTCGTTTTGCTTTTGATTTGTAGAATATTCATCTTATCATTTATATTTTTTTTATAATTCTCTGTAGAAACTTTGATTTTAATATTCGACAAATATAATTTTGCTTCTGTGAAAAATGAGATTACATTATTAAATGTTTGTGGACTCAATGGCTGTTTATACCCATAAGAATATAAACTGCGAGAATTAAAAATATCAAAAATATCGTTCATAATCATAATAAATTGAACTGTAGCTGAGCTGCCAACGAAGTCTTTCATATTATCTTCTTCCAACTGCTATAAAGCAATTGCAACACTTTTGCTCAATGTTTGTACTGCTAACTTAACATTCATTTTATTCTTTTGCCACTGAATATGTTTCCTTGTTAATTTATTTGCTAAATGAAAATGATATTCTTCTTGATATTTAAGTAATTTAACGATAAAGTCCCAATTAATTTCGTTACCATTAATATCATATAATATACCTTTACTGGCAAAAACATTTCTTACTAATTTATACATATAAACTGCATCCAAAATAATAAAAATTTTTTTATCTGAGTTAAAAGGATGAAAAAAATATGATTTGTTGACAAAAACATTAGCACCAAGTTGTTGTGACATTGAAATATTTGCTGCCAACCCATCAAAAGTTAAAGCAACAATCGTGATTCCACTAGGGACAAGAAAGTCTAATACTTTCCTGGTTATCTCTGCTCGTTCTTGTGTAGTAAGAGAATCTATTAAGAAGTATGCTACAGGAATTTTCCATCTTGCGTTCACGCCATTTATTAAATACACTAACGCTCCTTTGGCAAACGGTAATTCTTCTGGTTCATGAATACAACTTCCATAGTCAATATATCCTATAAACTTTCTCGCCGAATGATCCCACTGAACTTGTTTGCGAATAGCCATTTCATCCATCATTAAACATCCATATAATTGTTTGCCTTCATTTTCAGCTGCTTGACTTTTTATTTTCAAAATTTGTAATGATTCTATGGAAAATCCTGGAGAGCCATCAGTACTGCTATACCATGATCGAATAGTGGATGATGCAGGCAATTTATTCATAAAAGTTTGTCGAACATAGCAATATGCCTTAGGACTGTAAAAGTGCAAGGTTAATGCAAACGCTCTCAGTTGCAGGGGATACTTTCCTTTAACCTTACCACCTTGTATCTGCTTAATGATATTATCATCTAATGATATTATCATCAGAAATCTGCTAATGATATTATCATCAGAAATCTGCTAATGATATTATCATCAGAATAATTATATCTGCTAATGATATTATCATCAGAATACTCTGAAAAATGCACATTTTTTATTATTAGCAATAACAAAAATACATATATATATATATAATACATGTGTATAAGACAAATAATATGTATATAAAGAAAATGTCTTGTATATGTTACATATATACTGCAATTTAACTAAAGATAAAATATATTTTCAACATATTTCTATACAAATATCACACACACAAACCTGATTTCTTATGATCAGCTTAATGAGTTTTATATAAAAATAACTTTATATTATAGATTAGGTCTTTTTTACTTATATGCATCCTATTGTTGATGCTTTTTAAATATAATGAGAAATGCTCCCTGATATATGTTGATTCTACATAGGTTCATCCACACGGGAGCGTCCCAGATGCGCACAGAATAAATCGGACATAGTAACAATCGGACACCAGTAACTATCGGACACAGTGACAATCGAACACAGTAACAATCGGACACAGTAACAATCGGACACAGTGACAATCGGACACAGTAACTATTGGACACAGTACCCACAGTACAGATAACCAAATATGTTTGAGTAAATTTTGTCAAGTACTTGACCACAAATTTTACTGACAAAATGACATCAAATTTGGTGTAATATCTGCTAAATAAAATGTTGTTGGCAAATTGTCAGCAAACATAAGACAAAGTTTACTAACAAAAAATGACGGCAAATTGATACCAAAAACCGAACAAAGTTTGTACGGTAGTTTGACGCCAAATTGGCATCAAAAACCGAGCAAAGCTTGCACAACGCACTTTGATGCCAAATTAGCACAAAAAACCAGACAAGGTTTCCACGGCGGAGTTTGACGCCAAATTGACACCAAAAACCGAGCAAAGCTTGCGCTTTGCGCACATATAGACAATACAAAACATATTTATAAATCAAAGTGAAGTCGTGTAGTGTGAAGCATCGCTGATTCCCAATCTAAAGTCCTGAGTTCGAGCCCGGCCAGAGAACGATAAAGTGAATTTTTCAAATAAAATATAAGTGATATCGTGCGTGCGCGGGGATTAAATAGTACTTAACTGAGAAAATTCAAACAAAATCATTCATAATATTTCAAAAGCGACGCAAATAAAATAGGAATAATAATAAATAGAATTCAACTTTACAAAAATGACAGGATATGTTATATGGTAGTAAATATATTTTACTTTAAAAAGATATGTTTATATTTAATAATAAATTTAGATGCATTTAATTGCAAAAAACATTTTCTTTAAATAAATAAATTACTTGTTTATTTAAAAAATGCATATATAGTTATATGCAAACTAACTGTTTATATAATTAAAAAAGTTAATTTTTTTAGTACATTTTTCTCTGTATTTGAAAATATAATTTTTATGTAAATCACTATTTTATTCTAATAATAATAATAATAAAATAGAAAATCATTCAAATTAATAAATTATTATTCTTGGATTGGATTTTAATGTTAATTTGCTCTCAGTGTCGAGCAAGTCTTGCTCAATATTTGGCGTCAATTTGACGTCAAACTGTACCGTACAAGCCTTGCTCGATATTTGGCGTCAATTTGGCGTCAAACTGTGCCANTGTGAAGTTTGTACAGCAGTACAGGAGTGACAGTATTTAAGAAATATTAGAAGTATATACACATATAATGCCCCAGTGCATTGTAAAACAGTGTAAAATCGCACAATAAGCCGCCCAGTACTAGGAAATGAAAGAATGGAAAGAAACCAATAATATCTCACACAGCATTGCAATATGCAGCAATATGAAGCAATATTATAATATCGTAGCAATATTACAAAATCATAAGATTATTATAGAGTGTCCATTTTAAATCCGGCCGGCTGAATAAAATTCGAGGATATTTTCCAGAAAAAAATGTCAGACAAAATGTTGCTCAGTTCTAAGGGAGACATTCGATGCCATCAACAATTTTGACCTCAGGTGAAGGGTTCAAGGTCATTCAAGGTCAACTTTTTTTTCTTAAATGGGACCCTATTTTTCACATCGGCAATCGATTCTACGTAAAAAAAAAATGAAACTTTTTGTCTGAAGCATTTTTTTTTATAATGCAAACTAATTTCACTTATTCAGTCTCCAAAATTGAAATTTTCAAACTTTCTGAATTTTTTACTCTAGAATAGTGGGGTTGGGGGAAATTGCAGAAGACAAAAAGTTCTTTGGAATGCTGCAAGGAATTCACTCGAATTTTCGCATAGTTGATCGGTGCACTTTTTTCCGCCAATGTTTGGAAAAAATCTTTTTATCCTATCATGTCCAGTACCCTCGGCATGCGAAAATTCGAGTGAATTCCTTGCAGCATTCCAAGAACTCTTTGTCTTCTGCAATTTCCCCCCAAACCCCACCATTCTCGAGTAAAAAATTCGAAAAGTTTGAAAATTTCAATTTTGGAGACTGAATAAGTGAAATTAGTTTGCATTATAAAAAAAATGCTTCAGACAAAAGTTTCATTTTTTTATGCAGAATCGATTGCCGATGTGAAAAATAGGGGTTCCCATTTAAGAAAAAAAAGTTGACCTTGAATGACCTTGAACCCTTCACCCGAGGTCAAAATTGTTGATGGCATCGAATGTCCCCGTTAGAACTGAGCAACATTTGTCTGACATTTTTTTCTGGAAAATATCCTCGAATTTTATTCAGCCGGTCGGATTAAAATGGGACACCCTGTATAATATTCCAGCAATATTATCACAATATTACAGAGTGATATATCAGATTACAACATCACTGGAATATTACTGCAATGTTACAAATGTGACTATCGTATGGCAACATAGTGACAATATTACAACAATATTGCGAGATGATAAATCTCATTGCAATATCACAGGAATATTGCCGCTATATTCCAGCATGATAGACCGCTACGTAATATTTCTGATTATCGCCATAATACTGCAGTGTGAAACAATTTATATACAGGGTGTCCCATTTTTAATGTCACATCACAAATATCTCAGAAACACTGCGTTAAATCAAAAAATATTTCAGACAAAAGTTGTTTGGCTTGAAGGAGGACAAGAAAGCATTTTGTTTATAAATGGCGCCACTTTTGAGATATTCACTGACAATCAATTTTCATAAATGGAAATCTGAATTTTTTGTTATATTTTCTTTTTCTATCAATTAATTTGAATAATTTTTGTCTGAAACATTTTTTTATTTGGTTAATATTTTTTGAGATATTTAAGGAAAACTTGGTAACTTTTTCAACATTTAACTTACGATATCTCGCTAACTATTCGTCGAAAGAAAAAATAGTATTAGACTTTTTTACTTTACTTACTATCAAGAATATATTATTATAATAATGCTTTAACTTTTATTAACTTATCGACCTTTGGAAATTTCAAAATTATTAAATTAACAAAAGTTAGGGCACTATTATTGATAATGATGGCAATAATATATTCTTGATATTAAATAAAGTAAAAAAGTCTAATACTATTTTTTTCTGTCGACGAGTAGTTAGCGAGATATCGTAAGATAAATGTTGAAAAAGTTACAAAGTTTTCCTTAAATATCTCAAAAAATATTAAACAAATAAAAAATGTTTTAGATAAAAGTTGTTCAAATTAATTGGTAGAAAAAGAAGATATAATAAAAAGTTGGGATTTTCATTTATAAAAATGGATGGTCAGTGAATATCTTGAAAGTGGCGCCATCTATTACCAAAATGCTATCGCTGTCTTATGTCCCCCTTCAAGTCAAACAACTTTTGTCTGAAACATTTTTTTATTTAACGCAGTGTTTCTAAAGCGTGGTCTACAGTGACCGTAAGCAATAAGAAGAAAGCATGAAGTAAGAAATGGACCAACCACAGTTGATTATTTTTATATCGACTGTGATTGGTTTATTTCTTACCGCTTACGCTTACTTCTTACAGCTTAAGGCTATCACACGTAGAAAAATTTTAACCGTAACCGTAAGGTTGTAAGAAAACTGACCAATCACAGTCGATCCTTTCTCTTGTGACATTATAATAATCGACTGTGATTGGTCAGTTTTCTTACAACCTTACGGTTACGGTTAAAATTTTTCTACGTGTGATGGCCTTTACTGCCATTGTAGACCACGCTTGAGATATTTTTGCGAGATTTATGCCTAGGACATTAAGTATTTTTGCAATATTGCTGTGATATTTATGCAATATTTCAGTAATATTCCTGCAATATTGCAGCAACATTTAAGAAATATTGTAGCAACATTCCTGCACGATTGCAATAATATTTCGGCAATATTTTGCAATTTTTCTGCAGTATTGTGGCTATATTTCATAGGTATTCCTGCAAGATTGTGGCGATATTTCAACAACATTGTGGCAATAATCCTGTGATATTGTGACAATATTCTTACAACATCATAACAATATTCCCGCAATATTTCTGCGAGACCTATGCCTAGGACATTAAATATTTCTGCAATATTGTTGTCATATTTATGCAATATTTTAGTAACATTCCTGCAACATTTCTGTAATATTCCTGCAATATTGCGATGCTATGTGGGATATCACCGGTAAGAAAAATCATATTCTATTTTTCATATAAAAACACAATATATATTAATCTCAGTAATAGTTCTAAAACTCTAATGTAAACTGATAAACAATATAAAAAAAAGGTCAAGGAGAGTATTCCGTTATTCGGGCGAAAAAATATTTAACTCAAATAAATCAATGTGGTTGCTTCTGATAATATATATTATACTATTATATAAGACTAACAATATAATATAAATTTATACGTGTAATTTATTAATTAGATTTCCAAAGAACGAAAAATCAAAACAATTATGGTGCGATATGCTTCACTTGACTGCAGAATCGGTTCCAGTTGGAGCAAAAATTTGTTCAGCACATTTCGCTGAAGAAGCATTTCAAATTTCATCAACTGGGATGAGAAAACTTCGACCAAATTAATGCGCTACCATGTACAGGTATCAAATAGATATAATAGAGATTCTTTATTTTTATACTGTAATCACTATAACATACTTCATATCGTATCTTATAAATATATCTTTTGTTTACTTATGTATATAGTACATGTGGTTGCTGATGTAATTAATATAGTTCCTGATGCAGTTCCTAATGCAGATATTTCACATAATACAAATATTGCATCAAGTTCTGTATGTAATATGATTACGACAACACATAGAGGTACATCTCCTATTCCTGGACACAGTAACTGTAAGGAATATTTAATATTATTTTATAATATTTACTATATTTTATATTGTAATTTTATAATATTTAAACTTTATTTTATAATATATACAAAAAGTTTATACAATTAAAATTCTTTACACATGATATTAAAACTGTTGTAGTTGTGGATAATTCGACAAGCGTTTCACCAAATAAGATATTTAATTCTCCGGAAAAGAAACGTCTGCGAAAACAGCTAGAAAGTACAAAAAATCTGTACCAGAGAAAAAATTAAATATTTGCAACAAAAGGTTTGGCGAAAGGAATCACAGATCGTTTCTCTGAACGCAATTCTGAAGTTGCTGAAAGAAAAAAACTTATTAGGAGCTGAAGAAATTGACTTATTACAAGACATAGGTGGGGGTCATTCTAAAATATTAAACAACTGCGTAAATGTAGAGGAAACTCTGTACCTAAACAATATGATAAACAACTAAAGGCATTTGCTTTAACACTTCATTATTATTCACCAAGAGCATATGAATATGTACGCCAAGAATTTAATAACTGCTTACCACACTATAAAACAATATCTAAATGGTATCAAAATATTGAAGGAAAGCCTGGCATTATGTTAGAAGCTATAAATGCTATTAAACAACGAGCAGCTAATGTTGAATATCAATTGTTTGGGTCACTAGTTTTTGATGAAATAGCTATCCATCAACATTTAGAGTATGACGGTCAAAAATATAATGGATACGTTGATATGGGTGACAATATAATTAGTGCTGACACGACTCTCGCAAAAGAGGCATTAGTGTTTATCGTTGTGTGCATAAATAGTGCATGGAAAGTTCCAGTGGCTTATTTCTTAGTTGACAAAATTATTGCTGAACAAAAACAGAATCTAGTTTTACAATGCATTTCTTCTTTGCATTATGCTGGTATGCAGATTGTGTGTTACTTGTGATGGCACAGCTACTAACTTTGCTACGATGCAACAATTAGGATGTAAGTTTAATAATATTTTTGGTTTGCAGACAACTTTCCAGCATCCAGTAAAGAAGGAACCAATAATTCGATATGCTAAACTCGAAAAGTATGAAACAAACCGGTTTTAAAAAAGCATTATGCTTCAATAATATTAAAGAATTTTCAGATAAATTCGAAATTTGCAAAACAGATATTACATCTTTGAAAACTATTAACGGAGACTTTCTATATCAAAATCGCAGGAAAACTGGATTTCTTGGATTTTTTATATGTATTAACAGTGCACAATTTTTATTTAAAACTTTACTTCAAGATACGAATGTACTAAAATATATTCCATTTTATAAATTAAACCAAGATCATATAGAGCTTTTATTTAGTTGTATTAGATCAAAGGGAGGTGGAAACAATAATCCTACAACTCGTCAATTTAAAACTGCAATGAAAAAATTATTGGTACATTGTCAACTTAGAAATGTTTCCACTGGAAATTGCGTTGCCTTAAAAAATATTTCTATCTTACACATTTTATCTTTTCATTCGAATGTTAATTCAGAAAATATTATTCGATGGTCTTCTGGATTACAACGTCTTAAAGATGATATAGTTATTGAGGATGACGTTTACGATCATGATTATATACCAGATGTTAAATATTTATCTGAATTTTCAAGAGACATGACTGTATATATCGCTGGATATGTTGTCATGCAATTACAAAGTACTATTTTATGTAACTATTGTATAGACGCATTAAAATCGAATCAAAGGATATATAGTGACAGTTTGATTGCTTATAAAGATAAAGGCAAATTAACATATCTAATAATGTATTAAAAGTTTGCCATACTTGCGAAAAAATAATTAGAAATGCATTGTGAAAGTGGGGGATCTATATGAAGAAGCACTTTACTGCTGAATATTTGACAATTAAAGCTTTAATACATTTTATTGGATATAAATTATTTGTAACTTTAGAAAACCATACTTCCGAACAAAATGCAGTTGACAATCATATTGTTCATTTGATGCGCGCAATATGTAATAAATATATTAAAATTAGATTGCACTTTATTGCACAACAAACTATTAATGCTTCAATAAGTATGCGGCATGTTTATAATAAATTAATTCTATTTAAAGGACAATAATATGTATACATATTATATGAAAACATTTCAATTATTTCATTTTAAAATTGTGCATAACATTTATTTATTTACTTATTTATGACATTTCAATGACATGCATTCATATGACAATTTTAATATTTTCATGTATGATTTGATATATAAATAAAAATTGATATATAAATAAAACAATCTGTATCTCTGTTTTGCTTAAAATATTTTACCACAGATAAATAATTGTAAACAAACTACATTTATTACCTCTATATTTCATGTATTTATGCTTTATAACCAATCACTACTTTATAATTACTTTGAATGCGATCCATTAGATACTGCAAACATTTTGAAACGCCCAAAGGAAAATCATGATTGGTCTATAAAGCGCTTCAAATCATTTGCAACATTTAACGGATCGCACTCTTTATAACCAATCATCTATGCGGCACCAATGTACTACGTGATCACTTTACCTCGTCCCTCACAACGGCTTCATTCCCCTCGTCCATATTGAGGGTTTATGCTGGTTTATGCTTCGTCCCCTTATTCCTATGTCCATGAGGCGGCTTAAGGAGATCCTGGAGCGGCGACCGAACTCCAACCTTTGACTATATAACTATGGACTGCTAGCAATGATTTTGGGCATCTATAAACATCTGCAGCGCTGCCAGTACCAAACACAGCTATTATTAGAACTCGCACTTTTCATTCCTGTTTTACCATTAAAAAGATACTTATTTGCGATCATGAATTTATAAGGAAAGGAAAATATAAAGAGCACATAAAATATGCTGTATATAATAAAAATTACATTAGTTATATAGTTTATGTTATGAAAATCTTTTTTATACAATAACAATTAGTATTTATATATAAATAAAAATAAAAATATATATGTTAAACATAGCATCACATAATATATATATATATGTTAAACATAACATAAATAAAAATAGAACTTTGTTATTAATGTAAAAAAAAACGTAACATTTTCCATATTTGTTAAGATATTACTGACCTTTGAATAAAATAATTTTTGTAAACTGATGTCTGATGTACTCAATATTTTGGCTCATTAATTTCCTTTCATAATTCATAAGAATCTGTATATAACATTCTATAATTAATTTAATTAAATAATATTTGTGATTTTCGAAAACGTCTAACTCATTAACGTGGTTGTTAAAATTTATAAATACCTTATCCATATCAATATTACGTATTGTTTTTATAATTATTTCTTGGCATGCATTTTTCTTATACAAATTATTCTGTAATTTATAAAAATTAAAAACTTTATCAGCGGCAACAATGAGTTTATATGTATCTTCTCGTGGATAATGTAAATTATCTTTTTCCACAGCTTTTTCTTTCTATAAATGTAGACTTCATAACTGTACATTCGTTAAAAAGATAAAGGCATGTTTCGCAAGTAATCTTTTTTAATAATTTTCGTTCGACAAAGCCTGACATATAAATGATAGCATGTTCTTTGCCTTCAATATTATTAATAGAATCAGATATCATTAAATTTTCTTCTTCATCACTATCACAAACATCATTAATATTAGCAACATTTGAATGTGCTACAGATTTTCGTGATGATATTGTAAGTATATTTGTTGTGTCTTGTGCAATGCAATTGGCTGCTGCAGAAGATTTCACTTCATTATGATGGAGTAGTCGCTTAAAAGCTGCGATGAATTGTATAGCATTCGGATTATTATTAAATCCCCCCATGGATCGAATACAAGAAAATAAAATCTCCAAGTTGTCTTGCGAAAATTTATAAGTCATTATGTAATTCATTTTATTTTTTTCAACATATTCTCTATAGATATTTTCGAAACTTTCCATATTATTAATCAGTCCTAAGAAACTCGTTTTGCTTTTGATTTGTAGAATATTCATCTTATCATTTATATTTTTTTTATAATTCTCTGTAGAAACTTTGATTTTAATATTCGACAAATATAATTTTGCTTCTGTGAAAAATGAGATTACATTATTAAATGTTTGTGGACTCAATGGCTGTTTATACCCATAAGAATATAAACTGCGAGAATTAAAAATATCAAAAATATCGTTCATAATCATAATAAATTGAACTGTAGCTGAGCTGCCAACGAAGTCTTTCATATTATCTTCTTCCAACTGCTATAAAGCAATTGCAACACTTTTGCTCAATGTTTGTACTGCTAACTTAACATTCATTTTATTCTTTTGCCACTGAATATGTTTCCTTGTTAATTTATTTGCTAAATGAAAATGATATTCTTCTTGATATTTAAGTAATTTAACGATAAAGTCCCAATTAATTTCGTTACCATTAATATCATATAATATACCTTTACTGGCAAAAACATTTCTTACTAATTTATACATATAAACTGCATCCAAAATAATAAAAATTTTTTTATCTGAGTTAAAAGGATGAAAAAAATATGATTTGTTGACAAAAACATTAGCACCAAGTTGTTGTGACATTGAAATATTTGCTGCCAACCCATCAAAAGTTAAAGCAACAATCGTGATTCCACTAGGGACAAGAAAGTCTAATACTTTCCTGGTTATCTCTGCTCGTTCTTGTGTAGTAAGAGAATCTATTAAGAAGTATGCTACAGGAATTTTCCATCTTGCGTTCACGCCATTTATTAAATACACTAACGCTCCTTTGGCAAACGGTAATTCTTCTGGTTCATGAATACAACTTCCATAGTCAATATATCCTATAAACTTTCTCGCCGAATGATCCCACTGAACTTGTTTGCGAATAGCCATTTCATCCATCATTAAACATCCATATAATTGTTTGCCTTCATTTTCAGCTGCTTGACTTTTTATTTTCAAAATTTGTAATGATTCTATGGAAAATCCTGGAGAGCCATCAGTACTGCTATACCATGATCGAATAGTGGATGATGCAGGCAATTTATTCATAAAAGTTTGTCGAACATAGCAATATGCCTTAGGACTGTAAAAGTGCAAGGTTAATGCAAACGCTCTCAGTTGCAGGGGATACTTTCCTTTAACCTTACCACCTTGTATCTGCTTAATGATATTATCATCTAATGATATTATCATCAGAAATCTGCTAATGATATTATCATCAGAAATCTGCTAATGATATTATCATCAGAATAATTATATCTGCTAATGATATTATCATCAGAAATACTCTGAAAAATGCACATTTTTTATTATTAGCAATAACAAAAATACATATATATATATATAATACATGTGTATAAGACAAATAATATGTATATAAAGAAAATGTCTTGTATATGTTACATATATACTGCAATTTAACTAAAGATAAAATATATTTTCAACATATTTCTATACAAATATCACACACACAAACCTGATTTCTTATGATCAGCTTAATGAGTTTTATATAAAAATAACTTTATATTATAGATTAGGTCTTTTTTACTTATATGCATCCTATTGTTGATGCTTTTTAAATATAATGAGAAATGCTCCCTGATATATGTTGATTCTACATAGGTTCATCCACACGGGAGCGTCCCAGATGCGCACAGAATAAATCGGACATAGTAACAATCGGACACAGTAACTATCGGACACAGTGACAATCGAACACAGTAACAATCGGACACAGTAACAATCGGACACAGTGACAATCGGACACAGTAACTATTGGACACAGTACCCACAGTACAGATAACCAAATATGTTTGAGTAAATTTTGTCAAGTACTTGACCACAAATTTTACTGACAAAATGACATCAAATTTGGTGTAATATCTGCTAAATAAAATGTTGTTGGCAAATTGTCAGCAAACATAAGACAAAGTTTACTAACAAAAAATGACGGCAAATTGATACCAAAAACCGAACAAAGTTTGTACGGTAGTTTGACGCCAAATTGGCATCAAAAACCGAGCAAAGCTTGCACAACGCACTTTGATGCCAAATTAGCACAAAAAACCAGACAAGGTTTCCACGGCGGAGTTTGACGCCAAATTGACACCAAAAACCGAGCAAAGCTTGCGCTTTGCGCACATATAGACAATACAAAACATATTTATAAATCAAAGTGAAGTCGTGTAGTGTGAAGCATCGCTGATTCCCAATCTAAAATCCTGAGTTCGAGCCCGGCCAGAGAACGATAAAGTGAATTTTTCAAATAAAATATAAGTGATATCGTGCGTGCGCGGGGATTAAATAGTACTTAACTGAGAAAATTCAAACAAAATCATTCATAATATTTCAAAAGCGACGCAAATAAAATAGGAATAATAATAAATAGAATTCAACTTTACAAAAATGACAGGATATGTTATATGGTAGTAAATATATTTTACTTTAAAAAGATATGTTTATATTTAATAATAAATTTAGATGCATTTAATTGCAAAAAACATTTTCTTTAAATAAATAAATTACTTGTTTATTTAAAAAATGCATATATAGTTATATGCAAACTAACTGTTTATATAATTAAAAAAGTTAATTTTTTTAGTACATTTTTCTCTGTATTTGAAAATATAATTTTTATGTAAATCACTATTTTATTCTAATAATAATAATAATAAAATAGAAAATCATTCAAATTAATAAATTTATTATTCTTGGATTGGATTTTAATGTTAATTTGCTCTCAGTGTCGAGCAAGTCTTGCTCAATATTTGGCGTCAATTTGACGTCAAACTGTACCGTACAAGCCTTGCTCGATATTTGGCGTCAATTTGGCGTCAAACTGTGCCAGACAAACCTTGCTCGGTATTTGGCGTCAATTTAGTGGCAAGTTGTTAACAAACTTTGCTAGCAAAACCCGAGATTATTGCGGACACAGATGGCACCGGATTTGCCGTCAAGTTTTGGTCATATTTGGTGTCAAATTGGCGACAATTTGCTGCCAAATTGTTTGGGCACAGTGGGTAACTATCGGGCACAGTGATAATCGGACACAGCAACAATCGGACACAGTAACTATCGGACACAGTGAGAATCGGACACATGGTGGTTGCAATCGGGCATAGGGGGTGGGGGTGAGGAGCGGAGAGTGAGGGTAACGGGCGAAGCCCGGGTGCAGGGGGGTGAGGAGCCCCCCCGCTCATACATGTACTATTAACATGTACGGAGCACGTATCCTACTGTGTCCGTTTCTCACTGTGCCCGATAGTTACTGTGTCCGATTGTTACTGTGTCCGATAGTTACTGTGTTCGATTGTTACTGTGTCCGATTGTTACTGTGTCCGATAGTTACTGTGTCCGATTGTTACTGTGTCCGATTTATTCTGTGTCCAATTGTTACTGTGTCCGATTTATTCTGTCCGCATCTGGGCCTCACTTCATCCACACATACATAGCGATTCCCATATTAACATAAAAATATCGAATGGTTCATAAATATATACATATATTTCTGTAGAGATGGCCAAAATAGGTATTTGAAAGTACAAAATGCAAAATAGGTATTTTAAAAATGTTTTTCCAAAATTATGTATTTTATATATACATATATATATGCTTATATATATAAAATACATAATTTTGGAAAAGCATTTGTAAAATACCTATTTTGCATTTTGTATTTTCAAATACTTATTTGGCCATTTATATATTTCAGCCTATAAAGAATTTTACAATACGATTCAAGTATATGTAGGTGAAGGAGTATCTGTTTTAATTACCTGTAATACTTGCTCAGCATTAGAGGAAATAAGATTATTTTTTCTTAGAGCAGTGAACAACTGTTTTAAACTCTCAATTGTTTTCTTCTGACTATATACTTGAGATCTTAAACGATTCATTGCAATCTGTTGAGCATTATATTTCTTTCTTAATATAGTAACGTACTTCCTTAAACTACTTGACGACATGTTTGCTACTTTTTCAGTTGTAATATCTCCTGGATATCTTATTAAACATTTATCACTTGACGCCACAGTATTGGTTTTTGTTGAATATGTCATATTATCTTGTATTTGTCCTTGATGAGAACCAATTGTTGATTCATCTTCCATCAATACTTCAGAAGATGCATTATTGTTTTCGTTACAGTGTATACTTTCTGTTATGCTATTAACAATTTTTTTTTATTTGTATAAAGTTTGTATGAAAGTGGTATTATTATAGTTTAAATGTATTAACAATTTTAGTAATATTACCTTAAATTAGAAACATGTGGAAATATAGATGGTACAGATCCTTCGTATAAGCGTAATGATGACAATCCAATTTTGTACAGGTTTCATTAAAATGTTTTTGACATACAGTGCTATTTGTTTTTATGGCCACATTTTTCAATGTTTTCACCCATTTTGTACGATGTTCCAGATTTTTTGGAAATCTAAAAATATTAATAAAGATTTAAACTATTTTAGTAATATATCTGTTTCACATGATATTCTCATACATGTCTAAACACATGAAATTGTACAAACATTACTTTTAATTGCCATATTATTATTGCAATCTCATGTGTTTATATGTATACACATATTATACGACACTGCTTTGTTACTTAATTTAAAAATTAACCATTTAATAAGTTATTGTTGTAATGTAACATGAGAGAGACTTACGCAAATAAAGCCACATGCCTGTGATACATGAAAATATTAAAATTGTCATATGAATGCATGTCATTGAAATGTCATAAATAAGTAAATAAATAAATGTTATGCACAATTTTAAAATGAAATAATTGAAATGTTTTCATATAATATGTATACATATTATTGTCCTGTCTTTTTCTCTTTATTAATAGAATTTTTGCACCAATGGACAACACAGTATTTCATTTTTATTTATTATTTTCTTGTTTGTAATTGTCGTGTTATTATATATCTCATATGGTATAACATATAGCTACTAGATACGTCTACTTCGTTATCATTCGTTATGCTCAACGAGTTCCATCATTTGCCGTGTTTGGTACTGGCGGCGCTGCAGATGTTTGTAGACACTTATTGCGTGGAAAAGTAAGCTGCTAGCAGTCCATAGTTATATAGTCAAAGACTCCAACGCGATTGCGCCCTCATCTGAGTGGAACTAATAATGTCGATAATACCGACACTTACAGTTCCGTTATCGACATTTATCGATATGTACATAAAGACACGATGTATATTGCGAAAATATATATTGGGTGCGTTCACAACACTCAACAGTTGCGCAACTGTTGAGTAATTCGTCAACGTTATTGGTCTGAGTGTAAAGCCAGCGGCACACGGTGCTTGTTTTCGTGCTGGATTGCTTGCTGGATGAAAATATTGCGTTGTGATTGGTACATTTCCGAAAATGGATGGAACCAATTAGAACGCAGTATTTTCATCCAGCAAGCAATCCAGCATGAAAACAAGCACCGTGTGCCGCTGGCTTAAGGAACAGTAAGGACCAATAGTCACTAATCGCTCACTGAGCGGTTTTCTCCACTGAATGCACCCATTATGAAAACATATAGTATACATAATATATATTATAGATCTTCAATATTCGCAATGCATATCGAAATATAGTCTATATATAAAGTAATCATTTAGAACACACATAAAAATCGTAGTGAAAAGTAGAAAGCCTTTTACATTGTATTCTATGTGTTGAGACATGATATCTTGAAGTTTTAGTGTTTTATCGTCCTGTACAAGTATACAAATGATTTAACAGCACATAGATATCTATTTTTGTCGCACACATATTTAGAATACAATTGCATAATATGGTTCACACTGTTTTCGCTGTGTTTCTTTCGGTGCATGTATTCTCAGAGGAATTTGCATGTATTCAACATGCAAATAATATATTTACAAAAGTTGGTTTATGTAAACTATATGTATAATTTATACGTATTCGTTCTTCGGTACAATTCGTTCGATATAAGTAATAGTAATAGTATATAAGAATCGATATAAGTAAAAGGCTAATAAAAAGTATATCATGCAAACTCTTAGCCATATTACATAATCATTTATATATTTGTATAATTTAATATGATACATATAAATTTACAAATATTAATAAAATATATCACGACAATATTATATAAAAGAGAATATAGAATGGGCTCCTCCATCGCCCATTCCCGTGAGAACGCAACCAATATATTTTTTTTCGTCTCCCCGACTTTTGTAAACATTGCATCAAGGCATCTTTTCTCTCAAAGATATTTATTCGAGGTTTTTTTTAAGAATAATTTTTTCTCGCCTTGGAAAAGGCAACAGTCTATTGCTTTCTATAATTTTGTAAAAGTGTTGTCTCATGCATAATACATCCTTGGAGTATTTTTCATCGTAAGGATTTCCGCCTAATGTTATAGTTGTAGCGAAAGCTGCAGCAAAAATTCCACAAGACGTGGAATCCGGTTGTGTATCAACATTTTCAAAAATGATGTTACTTTCGCTTATTTGCGGATAACGGAGATGAATATAATTTTCTCTTTAGTTACCAACTTATCGTACATACAGTTAGGTAAACTGTCGTACACGCAAAGTTTGGTGCCATCGAGGAAAATGCATCGCCAATGATCACTGCAATTACCTTCAATGATCTGTAAGCTCTTATTGCTCTGACTAGCTACGATTATATGTGGTAATTCTAAATATAGCACACTTTATGTTTCAAATGCAGAAATTTCTCTTACGACGCGTAAAAATCGATCCAATGATTCGTCGTTTAACTTGCTGCATCTAGACAAGACATTTTCTTTCACGAAAGAAATAGGAGCAATCATGTCACCCAGAATTTTTTTATGTCTCATCACATCATCTGTTGTTAGATTTCGTTTGTCATTTGAGTAACTAACAATGACACAATCGTCATCTTGCTCCAAATCTAGAGAAGCAGTAGTTTGCAAAACATTTGATTTTAATCGTTTGCTCTTTTGGATGCTTTCTCTTTCTATATCTCGTCGGTTAGTTTTTCGACTAATAAATTTTTTGCATGCTTGTTCTTTAGCTTCCATTATATATCTTGGATCTCTAATTGGCATATGCCTATTATGGCGGTTGTCTAAGATTTTCGGAAGCATGCATTCATTATAGAAGCGTGTCAAATAGGGCAGCATTTTATTTTTCCAACAAGCAATGTCTTTGTTAATACGTAACGTTTTAAAACCTTTTGGCGTCCATATAACAAAAATGCAGTAATCTCGCTGCGTTATATTCAATGCCCTTGAACCTGATAAAAATATCGGTGATTCCGATTCATTTCATCAGGATTTTTTCTATCAAAAATGCCTCTCAATTGAGGCAATGTCTTTATAACCTCGTCTGCTGTTAAATGCTCAGCTGACAAAGGACATTTGATTTCGACGAGACCATCTTTTTCAATGAATCCGTCAGGAGAAGCATCTAAGCATGGATTTCCATCATCAATGAATAATCCGCAAATTTTTATTTCTTTATTTAGCTTTGCGCTCAATTTTTTCCTTGCGTTCTCTTCGTTTTCACGACCATATTTCATGGCTACGGTGTCGATAAACGGAGGAAACAAAATATTTTTTACAGTCCCTGCGCAAGACGTTGTTGGTCTCATGCGGCACACGGTTCCAAAATTGGATGCCGTCAACATTTCGCGTCTCAATGAATGCCATAATTCGGATTCATTTTGACCTCTCATATTGCATTCAACTTTCTCTCTGCCTCTACTATTTTCGAATAACTTTTCCAAATGATTTTTTCGAAATTGCTCGTATACTTCAAATGGAAGATCTGGTTTTTGCGATTGCGGGCCGTAATAACGATCTGCTCTCCACACGCGTTTTAATTTTTTATCTTCCATCTACTAGTCGAGATTCTCTGTTTTTCACAACTTTTATCTGTCATCCTTTTTCCAATTTCTCGACAACGGGAGGGACACTTTTGCACATGTCTTTATACACTTGCGTTAGAACTTGTTGCGTATATACTGCTCCTGCAATTCTGACATTGTAAGAGCTTCGTTCATCAAAATGAATGTGCTTTCCACCGATGTCTTCGCAGATTATCGAATTGAACGATTCTGCACGATTATTTATTATATTGCATAACAAGCTATCGGAATGAGTGCTTATAAATCTGAAAGCATCTTCTATTTTCGCTTACAGACCGTGCAACTTTAAAAATGGTACATAACTTTCTCCATTTCGTCGCGGTCATCTGTGCATGTACGACCGCGTTCTTTACATCGTTTATGCTCACCATAAATATGGCTAGGAATATTTAAAATATCTTTTTGTAATTCCATAACCTTGTAATAATGAGGTCGCCCTTCTTTATTTCGTATAGCGACTGCTTTTCTCAATTCTCTTCGCATATTTACAATGTTGTTTTCTACAACATTTCGTATTTGCGCAAAGCCACGTTTTCTTTGCATTTTCGGCTGAGTCATTTGTGATACGATTCTTAGCTTCCTGCACAGATTACGAAGCAGGTGATTTATGCATTCCACTTCCTTTACCACCACCTTTTGCTCGCGATATGGATTATTATTTATATTTGTTAGCTGATTATTCGCGTTATCATGCGTAACGTCGTAACGCTTCCGTCGGACGTTTTTTTCGAACTGCTTATATGTTGCGGCACGCACGAAGTCAGCGCGTAATACCGATTTTTCACTGTTTCCCAAATGCATATACGTATATATCATTGTGTCAGTGACATCATTACGTGTCACATTGTACCACTGGAGCAGTAGTATATATCACCGAATATACCAACTCGCACAATATGCATTTATGTACAGGCAGTGGAGAATCGCTGTCATGAGTTCGTTTCGTAAGTGTCACTAACACTCTTATCTAACAGTTGTAGCAGTAATAAACATTTACTTCACACCTTATCGGTGGGAAAGTTATAGCTATGGCTAAGAGAGATGTTTTACCATTAAAATGACACTAAACATGACACAAATCGCATATTTTTTAACTGACTACATATTCAATATTAGTATTATATATTTATTCAATAATTACCCGATTTCTGTCGTGTTTGATGTTATTTTAATGATAAAACATCTCATTAAGCCATTGCAATTATTTTAAAACAGGTAAAATGCGAAACGTAAAAGTTGTAATTTTCATGTTAGAAAATATTTAAATGCCTGAGTTCCTTACTACGGACAGATTCCCGACGTTGCAGAAGCGAGAGCGAGAACGAATAAAGAGGAAGCGAGATGACACTTCCTCGAAAAGTGCCGAAGCTCGCGGCGATCTGTTTACGTATCGCTTTCCATAGTGACATCTCGCTTGCTCTTTACTCGTTCTCGCTCTCGCTTTCACGATATCGGGAATCTCTCCGTAGCAGTAAACTCACGACTTTAAATACCTACACGAAAATTACAACTTTTATGTTTCGCGTTTTATTCGTTTAAAAATTATTGCAATGGCTTCATAAGATGTTTTACCATTAAAAAGACACCAAACACGACACAAATAGGACAATTTATAAATAAATATATAATACAAATGTAAATATATAATACAAACATCTATTTAATTAAAAATTATGTCATTTCAATCTATTTGCGTATTAATGAAATGTGATGGAGTTTCGCAAAAGAGACTTTCAAATGTTTGATGTCATAATTCTCTAGCAAATACATAATAAGTTTTAGAGCTGGCAGACGAATATCTGGCGGCGGCGACGGTGTACGGACCCATCACCCGGCGGGTTGGGGTTCTCGATTTCCG